ATTGTAATTGTAGGACCGAGCACGCATACCAAGAAACAATGCTGAATTATGATAATACCCCTATACAGTTCAGTCTCAATAGACAGAGATACAGCTAGCTGACAGAATAAGTTTGTACGGGAGTGTTCTAGAATACAAGAATGAGTAGACGAGAGGCTGCATCCGATTTTTTTTAATCTGCATGCAGCAGCTAGTACAGAAGACGAGTGGACGATTGGTTTTGCTCAGGATGGGTCCCACTAGCTGACATGGTACCTATACTTTTTATGTGTGCATTTTTTGTTGGACAAAATTTAAATTGTAGGATTGCAATATTTTTGGAACAGAGGAGAGTACAGAAAATAAAAACAAAAAAGATTGTCAGACTATTTCTATGTAAACTAAATTGTAAAATATCAAAGGAGAACTAAATAAAAACATAAAGAAAATAAAACAAAATAGTTAGATTATTTCTACGGAACCCAAATTGAAAAATTATAAAAGGGAACCAAATAAAACATACAGAAAATAAAATAGGCAAACAAATGATCAGAAAACTGTTCTAATTTTAACAATTTCTATTTACGAATAATCAGTTACATCAATTGATCATAGAACTTACGCGTAAAAAATCGACTTATAAGCCACAGAAACAATCAAACGAACAGGATGCTATAAGTGATATCTGATCATCGGTTCCATGTTTTGCTTTTGATCTCATCATATATATATGCTTATATATACCAAGCAAGCATGCATATGCATGCAACTATATGAATCATATAGGAGTATGTATATAAGCTAGCCATCTGATATATAGTGTGTGTGTTAATGAATCTTGTTTAGTTCCACTCCAACTTCTAAAAAGTTGCTACAGTACTTGTCACATCGAATGTTTGCAACCCGTGCATGGAGCATTAAATGTAGACGAAAAGAAAAACTAATTGCACAGTTTGGTGGGAAATTACGAGACGCAACGTTTTGAGCCTAATTAGTCCATGTTTGAACACTATTTGCCAAATAAAAACGAACGTGTTAAAATAACCCAAAATCCAAATTTCTCTAACTAAAGAAGGGCTGAACCAGCATGTGACATTAACTGTTGTAGAGCTAGGAAGAAGGAAGATGTAGTACACACGCTGTAGTAGAGCTAGAGCAGCAGTTAAGCCTTGCATGCAGGTCTTAACGTGATCACAGTATTATATATTATTATTATATATAGTATATGTTGCTGCAACTCACTCGCTGTACTAAGATTTCATCCCTGATCTTGCGCGGGTTATTATTATTATTATATATACCAAAGCCTTGTTTAAATTGCAAGAGTTAGAAAAATTTGGTATTGTACTACATTCGTTTGTATTTGACAATTATTATTAATCATGGACTAAATAGGCTCAAAAGATTTGTCTCATAATTTATAATCAAACTGTGTAATTAGTTATTTTTTTATTTACATTTACAACTGTATGTATGTGTCCCAAAATTCGATGTGATAGAGAAAAAGTGAAAAAATTTAGAACTTTGAAGCAATTTAAACAAGGCCCAAGCAAGCATGCATGTATCAATTCCTGCCCAGAGCGAAGTGAATTGGCACCAAGGACGGACGGACGGACGGCACTCACCTCGCTCGCTCGGGCACAGTGCGGCTGTGGTACTGCTGCTAAAAAGGTTTGAAATGCTGTGAGAGTACATGCATGATGACGGAAAAAAATCCAGCGTTCAAGATTTGTCATCACGATGCCTCTCGTGTCGCCACTGCGCATCTACACTAGGGCAGCACTGTGGTACGAGCAGGTGCTTCTCCTACGGCGCACCCGCGTGAACCAGACAGACGACGTGCCGCGCAGTGTGTGCTGGCCCCGCTGCAATTAAAACAAGTCACGTCGTACGCGGATGCGGCACACCGTGCAAGCGCAGCAGCCGCAGCCTGCGGCTCTCCATCAGATCAATTTTTACAAACATGCATGGAGCATTAAATATATATAAAAAATATTAATTATATAGTTTAGTCGTAAATCACGAGACGAATCTTTTAAACCTAATTAATTCATTATCAGACAAAATTTGTTAAATACAAACAAAACGTACTACAATGTCCGGATTACAAAAATTTACGAGCCCTACATCACTGATGCAGTGTGGCCACTGACACTGTACCATGCCCAGGATTTTCTATGGATGGCCGGAACAGCAGCCTAGAGGGCTCCTGTTTCCGACGTCTTTCCACATACCAAGTTGGACTGTGTTGTGCTTTACAGCTAGCTCGGGGTCCCCTCTCATATCTCGATTTCCATTTTGTTTGTTTTTTTCGCTTGGAAAACGCATGATATCATGCATTTGGTCCTTCGTTGTTTTTTATATACTGTCTGTATATGAACAGTTTTTAAAATTCTTTGTTCCACACAGCTTTGGTCGAAATAATGTGTTTTCTATCTGGATTCCTGGCTTACCACGCACTTCCTATCTTAGACAGATTATTTATATGTGTAAGGAAAATTAAAAAATATCAAAGGAGGACCAAATAAAACATATAGAAAATAAAAACAAAAAAGATTGTCAGATTATTTCTATGTAAACTAAATTGTAAAATATCAAAGGAGAACCAAATAAAAACATAAAGAAAATAAAAAAATAGTCAGATTATTTCTATGGAACCCAAATTGGAAAATTATAAAAGGGAACCAAATAAAACATACAGAAAATAAAATAGGCAAACAAATGACCAGATAATTGTTCTAATTTTAACTATTTCTATTTACGAATAATCAGTTACACCAATTGATCGTAGAACTTACGCACAAACAGCCGGCTTATAAGCCATAAAAACGATCAAACGAACATGATGCTACAAGTGATATCTGATCATCAGTTCCATGTTTTGCTTTTGATCTCATCATATATATGCTTATATATACCAAGCAAGCATGCATATGCATGCAACTATATGAATCATATAGGAGTATGTATATAAGCTAGCCATCTGATATATAGTGTGTGTGTGTTAATGAATCTGAACCAGTATGTGACATTAACTGTTGTAGAGCTAGGAAGAAGGAAGATGTAGTACACACGCTGTAGTAGAGCTAGAGCAGCAGTTAAGTCTTGCATGCAGGTCTTAACGTGATCACAGTATTATATTATTATTATTATTATATATAGTATATGTTGCTGCAACTCGCTCGCTGTACTAAGATTTCATCCCTGATCTTGCGCGGGTCATTATTATTATTATATATACCAAGCAAGCATGCATGCATCAATTCCTGCCCAGAGCGAAGTGAATTGGCACCACGGACGGACGGCACTCACCTCGCTCGCTCGAGCACAGTGCCAGCGGCGGATCTAGGAATTTGATTATGGGGGTACAAACCAAAGCGCTGTAGTTCATCGACAATAAGATGGTATAATTCAATCACTAAATGATAATAAAATAGTTGTAATAATGATATATAAATAGAACAAGCTATATATTCTCATTATTACAAGTTTGCAACTAAATCTTATAAACTATTATCATAGAAACTAAAACTTCACAAGACATTCTGTGATTCTTGGAAGTGTTTAATGATATATGACCAAACAATCATTCAAGTATCGACCACCCATCTTGTTTCAAAGGCTGGTTTTCATATGGTTCGCTGCTGAAAATACTCTCTCAACACTTGTTGTTGCTATAGGAAGGATTAAAAGTAATTTCAGCAATAAATAGACAAGTTTAAAGCGATTGTGTTTGTTTGTCTCAACAAATTTGAGAGAGAGGGAGAGAGAGATCTCTAAAATTCTTTGCTTTTCGAAACCTTGTGTCATTACACACATCAACCATAAATATATTAAGTTGCAAAAAAAGTTGGACCAAATTTGTGCTCGTAAAATCTTGAGGATAAAACTTTGCCAGTTTAATAAGTCTTTCCTTGTCATAGAAAGCAAAGGAATCACTAGATTCAAAAGCAACCATGCAAACAAGTAGCTCTTTATGGGACTTTCTTTTCCCCGGTAGAATGAACTAGCTAGCACTTGGGCTTGCTACTAAACAATATATTATACATATATAATGGAAAGGGTATATGTACTTAGTATTTTTGTAGAAATTTTGGGGGTACAGCTGTACCCCCATGCACCTACTGTGCATCCGCCCCTGCACAGTGCGGCTGTGGTACTGCTGCTAAAAAGGTTTGAAATGCTGTGAGAGAGTACATGCATGCACCATGCATCTTTCATGGAGTAGGAGTAGCTCGCATCTCTTCTCTATCTGCTGCTCGACTGCGCACTTTGCGTTGGGAAAGAAATAAAGAAAGGAGGGAATCGGCCAGGAAGAAAATCCAGCGCTCAAGATTTCTCATCATGATGCCTCTCGTGTCGCCACTGCGCACCTACACTAGGGCAGCACTGTGGTACGAGCAGGTGCTTCTCCTATGGCGCACCCGCGTGAACCAGACAGATGACGTGCCGCGCAGTGTGTGCCGGCCCCGCTGCAACTAAAACAAGTCACGTCGTTCGCGGATGCGGCACAGCTGCTCGCTTGCGGGACCGTGCAAGCGCAGCCGCAGCAGCCTGCATCACTGATTCAGTCTAGCCCGAGCCGGCACCGAAAAGAGCCCGTAGTGACGTGCCTTGGCCAGGCACGAAGCCCGGTTCAGCACGGTCCGGCGGCCCGTGTCTGGCCCGGTGCCTGGTTTGGGCCCATGCTGGGTCGGGACGGACGGCACGAATGTTCATCTATATATATAAGGATACGTACATACGGAAAGAATCATGGCAGTCGATTAGAATTGAGATGTTGCTAAAAAAAAAATTCAGAATCGGGATAACGAAACAGCAAGGCCACAAGACCCAACCAACCACCTGTGCATGCTTTCCACAAAGCTTCCCCCGCCCGGCGGCGCCATAATTGGCTCACTTGCTCCTGGCCTCCATAAATCCATGCCTCTAGGCCTTCACTGTCCACTCCTCGTACAAGTGTTGTTGCTCTGCAGCTCTTCTCCCCAATCAGTCCAGCACTGACTCCCCTGCGAGCGCCAATGGCGGCCGCCACTGTCCTGGCCGCCATACTGGCGATGTCCTGCTGCTGCTGTGCCGCGTACGCCACCACCACGACGGTGACGCCAGCGGCGGAGTCGGACCACATCGACAGACTGCCGGGCCAGCCGCCGGTCAACTTCTCCATGTACTCCGGCTACGTCACGGTCGATGCCGCCGTGGGGCGCGCGCTCTTCTACTGGCTGATGGAAACCTCCGGCATGCCAGCAGACTCTGCGCCGCTCGTGCTCTGGCTCAATGGCGGGCCCGGGTGCTCCACTGTCGGCTACGGCGCTATGGAGGAGCTCGGCGCCTTCCGAGTCAACCACGACGGCGCGACGCTCTCCTTGAATCCCAACATCAGCAATTGCGGACCACACACTACGAGTAGAGATACAAGAAGGTAGTGAGAACATCACATACACAGTACAAGTATCAGCTTTTCAACGTCTGTTCCTACAGCAGCAACAGTAAAACAGCATGAGCCTTTCACCGTCTGTCCCTGCCGTGCATTCGTACATGAGAGCAGCAGATTATCTAAAATTTCTTTCTCTAATCCTGCTGCTAACCCCAGAATCTCCACCGTATCGATCATCTTCTTCAACTCCGTGAACTGAAGACGGCCGAGTGGTTTGGTGAGAACGTCCGCGAGTTGCCGACCAGTTTTGACGAACTCGATGACGATTTACCCTCCATCGACACTCCCTGAGAAAGTGGAACTTGACGTCGATGAGCTTGCTCCGGTCATGGAGAATTGGATTCTTCGCGTGGGCGATGGCGGACTGGTTGTCCACCATCAGTGTCGGAGGATGAGCTTCCACATCGGTCAGCTCGCCCAGCAGCTGACACAGCCATATAGCTTGGCACGCCGCTGTGGCCGCCGCCACATACTCTGCCTCACACGTGGACAGCGCTACCACATTCTGTTTCAGCGACGACCATAAGATTGGAGTCGATCCGAGGAAGACAAGCACGCCAGAAGTGCTCCGCCGTCCATCGATGTCCTCCGTCATGCCTGCATCGCTGAACACAGTGAGCTGCAGCCTACTTCTGTCGGTATTGGGGAAGATGATCACATGATCCACCGTCCCCTTGACGTAGCGCAGCAACCGCTTCACTGTAGCTCAGTGATCCTCTCAGGGATCCGCCATGAAGCGGCTGACGTAGCCCACGACAGATGCAATGTTCGGCCTCATGTGGACTAGGTAGTGTAGACCGTCGACGATGCTCCGGTAGAGTGTTGCATCTACCTTCGCCATAGTACTAGCATTCGTCAGCTTCAGCCGCTCCTCTATCGGAGTCACGCACGGCTTGCACTCAATCATGCCGCTCCGCTCCAACAGCTTCGGGGCGTATGCGCTCTGACCAAGCGTGAGCGCCTCCTTCCCCTGTTTTACCTCGATGCCGAGGTAGTAGGAGAGCGCACCGAGATCACTCATTCGAAAATGAGCCGTCATCTCACGCTTAAAGCTATCAATGTCCTCCGCACGCGCGCCGATGATGATCAAATCGTCCACATACACGTCGACGACGAGCTCCTCCTTTCCCGTCGCCGCGTGTAAAGCGCGTGCTCGGTTGCGCATCGTGTGAACCCAATCTCGTCCAGCGTGGCGTCAAGCTTGGCGTTCCACGCTCGCGGAGCCTGCCGCAACCCGTAGAATGCCTTGCGCAGTTGCAGCACCCTGTGCTATGCTCCTTTGATGTAACGAGAAATCTTCTTTTTGCATAATGCTAAAATTTATATTTTTGGTAACTAAACAAGGCCGAAATAAAGAAAGGAGGGAATCGGCCAGGATGCCGGAAGAAAATCCAGCGCTCAAGATTTCTCGTCATGATGCCCCCCGTGTCGCCACTGCGCACCTCCACTAGGGCAGCACTGTGGTACGAGCAGGTGCTTCTCCTATGGCGCACCCGCGTGAACCAGACAGACGACGTGCCGCGCAGTATGTGCCGGCCCCGCTGCAATTAAAACAAGTCACGTCGTTCGTGGATGCGGCACACCGTGCAAGCGCAGCAGCAGCAGCCTGCATCACTGATGCTGTGTGGCCACTGGCACTGTACAATGTCCAGGATTTTCTGTGAATGGCCGGGACAGCAGCATGGAGGGCTCCTGTTTCCAACGTCTTTCCCCGTACCAAATTGGCCTGTGTTATGCTTTACAGCTAGCTCGGCGTCCCCTCCCATATCTCGATTTCCCTTTTGTTTATTTTTTCACTTGAAAAACGCATGATATCACGCATTTGGTCCTTCATTGTTTTCTATGTACTATCTGTATACGAACATTTTTTAAAATTCTTTGTTCCATACAGCTTTGCTCGAAAGAATGCGTTTTTCTATCTGGATTCGTGGCTTACCACGCACTTCTTATCTTAGCCACATTATTTCTATGGTTAGGAAAATTAAAAAATATCAAAGGAGCACCAAATAAAACTTACAGAAAATAAAAACAAAAATAGGAATGCTATAGGACACATGTGTATTTTTTAGTTTGTTGCCACATGGATTTTTGTTTCTCTCATGCGACGCTTCTGTCCGTTCCATTGGCTTCAGAGTCTTATTTGGGTGCGAACACTGGAGGCCGCACCCGCTAAACTCTAGCCTGGCCACCGCCCTACTAGAGTGCTCAACCACCCGCTCCTCTGGCTCTCCCACCCACTCTCCCAGTGAACCAATGATTTCTCAGTGACCTCGGCCGCTGCTCCTGTCTCCACGCCGCTGCTCCTATCTCCACGCCGCCTTCCGCCTAGCGCTGTCCTGCTCATGCGCCGGCAGCTCCTGTCCCCTCCGCGACCGCTTACTCCCCTATGGCGCCTCCTCGGCGGTGGCACGCGGCGGCCCTACGCCCCTGCGCACCAGACCCGGCACGGGTGGCCCCGGCGACGGGACGACACACCAGCGCGGGCGTCCCCCGGCGCGGCAGCCCCGGCACGGGCGGGTCGATGTGCGATGGCCTGGGCACAAGCGGCCACCTGCACGGCTGCAGCGGCCATGGAATCGCACGAATTGGCGACAAGGCAGCGCCGATGGCGGTGGCCATGACCAGGACTCAAGGAGCTCATGCGGGGACCGACTCGACTACCTCCGTCACTGATGCCCGTCTACCTCCCTGGTGATAGCCTTCACCTGCACGGCTGCACCAAGCAAGCAACAACCATGTCGCACAAGCCTGGTACGTGAGTCAGCGACTCCGTCGATCGCATCACATGGCTCCCCATTACATCCATCTCGCCTGCAGCACCATAGACGGCCACCGGATCGAGATAAACGTGGGTTGTTGCACACTCGCACTGCTGAACAACGCTGCACACCGAGTGCCAGACGGATTGTCCGTGAGAACTGAGGAGTGTAGATGGTTCACGGCTTCGGCTGGTACGGCAAGCCTGCCACCACCACCGTCCGCCTGCGGGACGGCTCCGCGGCGCTCCATGCGGACCTCAAGGCCACGCAGGTCACGCTCGCCGCTGGACGCTTCGACCTCGTAGACCTCCACGCCCGCGTCCGCACCACCAACGAGCTCCTCCAGACGCTCCTCCGCGCCATGCAGGACAACACGGCTGGGACCTCTGGTGCATGATTCGTCCTTGTTCTTCCTCTTTGTATCTATGTTCCTCATCGGTTGCATGATTTATCCGATCCCCTTTCCTGATGTGGTGTGGATTTGCTGGATCCCCCATCTTGATACGGTGCTTGATTCTTCCTCTGGTGTGAGGAGCTTGTTCTGTTGTGCTGTTGGGATGAGATCTATGAGCAAGGAGAGGGGTTCACCCTCTGCTGTAGAATCAATTTCCGATTCAATTTCAGGTTGAGCAGATTTGGAGCCTAGGTTGTGGCAGTTCACACATTGATTTGAGCAAATGGAACAAGAGTGCATCGGAGGGAGCGAGCATGGATTGGGCAAACCAGGAGGTCTTAGCGGCAAGGTTAAAGCAAGGAGTCCTCTAAAGCAAGACTCAAGTGTGTGGTGTTGTTTGTGTTAGTGTGTGGTGCAGGAAAGTATTTTTTGAAGGTAGGAGGACATAGGAGGGATCTACATTCTGTCAGTCCATGGATTTGTTGGAGTACATGGGAGCTTCGGTTCATTCAGTTACCCGAACAAACTTCAATGCTTCATTCACCCATTACCTGTCACTCACCTCATTCTGTCATGGCCTGTCTTTTTCTCCAACACCTAGTCATTGCCTGCCTCTCACACTCCTCTCTCTGTTGGCATTCTAGGGGTGATATCCAATTTGATTTTGGACGCTACTGCTGCATTTCCTAATATATGTTGCACTCTGCCTTCACACTGCATCCACCAAATAGACAGCCGAGTAGAAATAATAAGGCGAAGCCATCAGTACAGAGTAAAAAAATTATGTGCAACAAACTAACAGTAGGCCAATAAACTTATTTCCTGGTAGGAGACTAAGATTAAAAATCTTTGTAAGCGTTTATCATCATTTTCCCTGTATCTTGTTGGTGTGGTGTGACATTTCAATGCTTCTGCTTCTAATGTGTTGGCAAACTCTTGAATCAGGATGAGAGGGAAGAAGATGTCATATTCAGTTTTGACAAGGTGTTCTATGAAGACGCGCAACAGTCTGATGTCTAGAAATTCCTTGATGTGCCCATTGTGCCAGTTTTTTTTTCATTCTATATTTGTTCTTCAAGATAGTCAAAGCTGTTTTTGGTCACTGCACTCTTATCATAACTAGATTATCTAATAGTCATTTTCTATATTCTAGAAACAGAAACAGATGCCATCAATGGAATAAGTGGGACTATAATTACTTATGGTCAGGTATCTATTGCTCCATACACATACACTCTGTACCCTGATTGACCATTTGACAGTAGTACACTTGTTTTACTGCATAGGATGTATATGTGTATCCACTTTTTTCCTCAAAGCAATGCTCGCCGTATTGCAACTTTCCAATTTACTGTATACAGTCATAATTTGTGGTGCACCTATATGATCAATGTCTTAGTGATAAACTTTTAACCATAATGATATTTTTCAAATTTGCTTGTGTCTAGACTGGGGCAGGAAAGACATAGAGCATGGAAGTAAATTAAATGTCCTTGAGCTTTAGTTTATGGGATAATTATTGATCATGTCTCTTTTATCTTGACCTTACACATTTATGTAATTTTGAATGTAACATAGGGGCCAAGCATCTTGCATTGCAGTGAACAGAAATTGGACTAGTACAGCGAATTGTGGATGAGCTTTTTGTATGTTTAGGATCATCAGCAAGCACATGGACTGTGAAGTTGTCAATGGTAACATACCAGCCTCATGCTGATTTAGCATCCACATTGCTAGTTTTCCCCCCTTAGTTGTTAGGTTTACTAAAGCTGAATAGTAAAATAAGTTATTTATCATGTCTCAGGTGGAGATATATTTGGAAAAAGTGAGGTGAGTATTTGGTAGACAATTTCTCATACTTTCTCTCTAGAAATGTTTTTTAAAGTGCTGCTATGGAGAGGGTCAATTTTTATCTGTTCATATCTCAGGGACCTTCTTGACTTGTCCAAAGACAACATGTAGATCAAGGAAAGTAAAACCCAAGGAATTTACATTTCTGGAGCAACAGAGGTTAGAAGAACATGGCACCTTCTTTCCATTCTAATTTTCTATGATATTCAGAAAGAAGTACTTGGCATCAGGACCTCCATGCTTTCACATTGATATCTGGAATTTGTTCAATTACCCATGCAGATATTTATCCTGAACAGTTCAGATGCATTAGAGAACCTTTTTTTGTAAGTCTTCTTAAGCTTTACTTGGAGTGCCTTTCTATAAGCATATACTAATAGCCACTTCTTTATATAGAGAAAGATTCTCCCATTGTATCTTGTGATGATTTGAGATCTGTTTGGACCATTCTAATTTTCTCCATTTTATTGATAATAAATTGACATCATTGTGTGTTCTGTCATATGGTGTTTTATGTACATGCACAGTTTGCCAGGTGCATGTATGATGTATGAGTTGGGTAATTTGAACTATGGTTCAGGTCCATTTCTGTCGATCGATGCTTTTTTATATCCAAGGAGGGCTTCTTGTTTGTATTGCACGATTGTTTTTGATTCGTTTAAACCATTTGGGTATGGATAGTATAGTACCAATTGTGCTTTTGTGTCTCGCGAGCTAAAGAGAATGCTATTATTGGATTCAATATTTCAGTTATGTATTGTTCTTAAAGCCTCTGTGAGTTGATTAAATTTTTTGTTATCCATACTAAATATTAGTCACTCCAGTATAAAAAAGATGACCTTAGGATGGCTTATTTTTATTCACTATAGACTTTGTTTTTTTTTTGTTATTCACTATAGAATTTGTTAGTATATGATGTCAGGATGGCTTAGTTTTATTTACATGCTGAGATCTGTGCATTGTTAATAGGAATAACTTATGATGTCAGGAATAATTATTCTAGTGTTCTGTTTTTAACTATGTATCTCCTCTGCCAGGTGCCAGGCAATCTAAAGTGCAATTATGTATGTAGTATCTATTTCTTCATTGTACATTTATAAGTAGTAAATTGCACACTTAAACTACTGCAATTATGGAGTTTAACATTGTGCAATATCCAGTCTTTATATATAACTTTCCCACTTTTTTTCTTTTTTACATTTGATTAGGCATGAAAAACATATGTTCAGAAAGCTTGCACTAGGAAAATTATTTACTCTAATAGTCAAGTGTAGCATCATTTCGGTTGTTTGATGATGAATAATATTGCTCTAACCTGGATCAGTGCTTGCAGCTGAATTATATGGCTAACTCTTTTTTATGTTTCAATTTGATCTTGTTCTAAAACCTAAGGCTTTGTCATTGTTGTTTGCAAATATTTATTATTGAGATATTAACTATTGGACGGTGATTGTTTGTTTGGTTTGAGAAAGATTTGTTCCTGCCGCTTGTTGTTAGTGGTGAAGAGTTGGCTTGGCAATTAGCGCCTTGTTGTGATATATGATTGACCTCGTGTATGTGGGCTTCAACACTCTGTTTTTTTTGTTTTAGGTGATGTTTGGTCTGTTACGTGCCTTTGTTCCTTGCTCTATGTTTCAGTATATCTATCATGGCGATAATT